TCATATTACATGGAACAATGGTTGCCACACCCTACTCCGAAGAGAGGTTAAATTTCCATTCTCCACCCCTAATTTTGAAGAAGAGAACCCTAGAGGGGATTCGGGGGTCTCCCACCCCTTCTTCCTTCCAACCAATCCACGCGAGAGGACTTTCGGCTCACCGCATATTTAGAGTGCCGCCATGCCGCACCGACACTATACATTTACAAACATCCATCTTCTCCGAGATTCGAACCCGGGCCCCTCGATACTAATGCCTGTCACCATAAATAGGCTCCCCAACCACGAGCACTTAACAGTCTCAAGCAACCAGGAGCCAGATTCTGGCCAAATTGGTTCCAGAATCTACAAAGTAACAGAGTTGTCCAGCAGAGACTGAAAACAATAATTGGCTACTGTACTAGCAAATACTCTTCTGAAGCTGGAAGATAGTAGTCACAAAGCCTATATAAGCTTGTTCAATATGTCAGCAACAGAGTGTGAGATAAGTATGTTCAATATGTAATTTTGTATTTATGCTGTGCCAGGTTCTCATACATAAAGTTCGTACTGTATCTGAATGCTGTTATGTATTTGTACATATTTATATCTTTTATTTATGGTACCTAATTTATACTAAGGATCACGCGTACTTCAATGGCATTCTTCTTGTAAACTTTAACTATCATGATAACGTATATGTATGGGTGTATATATCAATATGAGTAAGAGTATGTACATTTTTATTTGTTTCGGAATATACATGTATGTAAGTGTGTATATATCTGTATATGAGTTGGTATTTATATGTATATACATATATTTTATTGTACTCTTCTTCAAGTGCCTTGTACGCACATGTATATATTTCTATGTACATTGTTGCACTCTTCTTCAAGTGCCCTGTATGCACATGCATATCTCTTTTTTGAATTTTATAAATGTCGTCTGCTCAGCCGGGGCTGCCCAGGGCTGCGGCCTGGTAGCTAGTGGTTGACTCCCGCCGAGTTGGTAACCAATTCTGCATGCATATATCTATACCTGAGTCGGAAGCCAACTCAGCGGTTTACCTTCCCTAATCACTATACCGTCTGGGCGACTCGCTTTATGGTGACAGGCATTAGTATCCATATGGAGTAAACTAGGACCAACTGCTGCAGCGTACAGCCTCACAATGGGGTGTAGAACTTCATCCGATACCGCGTAGCCGTTGTAGAACCATCTTAAAGATACGCAGTTGGGTGCGTTTTTCTCTCTGAAATACCAATCAACCACGATAAATGCGTCACGTTCAATATTTTGGGCCATTAAGTGTGCGTCATTCTCTCTATACCACTCCACGCTCATCATCTGATCCCATGGCAATTTTGGATTTGTTCATCAACAGCACGTTGTGCCAATCTGAGGCAATCCAATTAGATGATCACAACACCACTTTAATATTGCCCTTCTTAATTAGGCAGCTACAGAAGGTCGTTCGCAATTTCCAGAAATGATTTTGATAATTAATTCTTATACATACAGAGCGGATTTCTTGCTAAGATTTGCTTCTATGTGACAGTCTTGAATCTTGGCTATAAATCTAGCTTCATGACAACGTTCTCATCAATTTTACGGAAAGGAGAAGTCATAGTATTATTTATTTATTCTCTTATATTTAAATAATAAAGTTTAAAAAGAATATAATAAAATTAAATTTAAATAATTGTCTTGCATCATTGCTGCAAGGAATGAAATTTGAATTTAACAAACATTCTCTATTCGTAAAAAGCAAATTTAATTCAATTTCATTTAAAATTTAAATGCTTGTTAAATAATGAAGTTGCTAGAATCCATCAGCCAAGAAAGTTGTTGATAGAATCAATCAATCATTCAACAGGATCATTGATAGAATCAATCAGTGGAACCAAGTGGGAAACGAAGAAGCAGTTTAAAGTTTGTAAAATTCATATTAATCTGGATACTGACAGTCCTGTACAACCCTACTACACATGTTAGTGAGTTATCACTAGGTCTGAAATAGTATGACATTGCTGAGGTTTTAAATATCCTTTCTGTTTGTAAACTTCAAAACCCTCAGTTTTTATACACTAAAAGCAAAGAAGCATTCTGGTGAGGAATACGGAAAGAAGAAGTAGACGTAAAGATCAAAATCATAATCCTGGTTAGTTTAACATAAACCTACAAGGTTGAAATGTATTGTTATTAACAAGGCAATGACTTTGCAAAAATCATGATAAAATCATACATTCATTCATACATCATCAAAAATCATTAAAAATCATTAAGTTGATACATCATCGAAAATCATTAAAAATCATTAATTTGATACATCATCAAAAATCATTAAGTTGCACTAATAGCTAAATTACTTAGCTATTAGTGCAACTTTGATAGTTTTTGATAGTTTGAATTACACAGGCAGCAGTTTGCGACTAGCTTGAAACAAAGTGAAGAGAAAACGCTGGCGAGTGGCATTTTTAGGAAATGGTTAAGGAGAGAAAGCAAAAGAGAGCAGAAAACGTTTTTACATTTTAACTATTCGGAATGCGTTAATTTCGAACATCATTTAGGATAAAGTGGGAAAAATTCTTATTTGGAGGATGATTTGCTATTTTAACGGAAGAAATTATGCGTACACTTACGACTTTCGAACTTTTGATGACTTAGAACATTTTCCGTAACATGTATAAATAAAAGTAGCTATAATAAATATACATAAATGAATAGTAACAAACCAAATTAGTTTCATTAATTTTTAGCCGAAAAGAGACCTCCGTCCCAAATGGGATATTAGTCTTGAAATGGCATTTAGCGTTGAATCATTATAAACGGCGTATTTCTTTTCAAATTGTTGCCACCAATTATTGTCTTCCTGAATTATATTTAAAGAAGTTAAATAATGAAGCTCCAGCATGAATGAACGCATGTTTCACGCACTACGAACAAGCAACGGTACTTTCATCCAATTATGAATAACGTAATTCTTCATCCGTACAGGCCCACCAGCGGCCGGCCGAGCGTTAAAGTCGCTGTAAACTGGTAGTTCGGTCCGAGGTTAGAATCCCGCGAATGAGCTGGCTGCATGGGTGTTTTCGTGGTTTTCCCCATGTGTAACGTGTATACGAGCCAGTTTCCCTTAGAAAGTCCTCCCCGAAGGCATCCCTCCCCTTAGGCAGATAGCCCTAGTGTGCTTTGCCGTAATTAAATACACCACACCACCAACCCCACATCATGCGTACAAGGGCACCTGGAAGCTCGCGTTTTAAAATTTCTAATTTGTTTTATTATCCATTTCCTATTTTTTAAAACTTAACAATTTTTTTTATTAACAAATTCCATGATTTCAAAGCGACCACCGGCAACACTATACGGAAGACGATATTTTTACCTCCAGCGCGCGAGCCTACCTGTTGGAAATTTTAATGATATGCTGTTTCTAAATACTTTGTGATTTTGTTGTTGAATCGAAGTTTACATGGCCTAAGTACCGAGAATGTGATATTTAATAAATAAAGGGGGAAAAAAAACAAAGCTTTAACGATAAAAAGAAAGAAAGTTTCACAGAGCCTTCTTAAAAAGGAAACTGAACATTGGTATAATGAACTGAGAAAAGGCTGAAAAAAATAGCAAAATGTATGCTAACACTTAAGGCTGCATCGGAAATTAACGTATACTAACTACTATGCTGTTTTTAAAATTTTTTGTAACTTTGCTGTTGAATTGCATATGGCATAAATGCGAAGAAAATGTGCTTAACAATAAAACTAAAGACAAAGAAAAAGGGGTGAGCATTATAAGGTATTTCTCCCGCTTTCCTAGCGTGCCTTCGTGGTGCAGTGGTCAGCACACTGAGCCGGTATTTCAGAGTTCCGTGGTTCGATTCCAGACGAAGGCGGTTGCTAATTTTCCATTTTGCCTGCTTCCAAAAAATCCTATGTCTCTACAGTGGCGCTCGAACTAAAAGGTTGTTGGATGAGGATTCTCTGCACCCAGGATTTGGCGACTGGGTCCCCTGAAAACCCCAGTCGCCTTTTGAAAAGAGAAGTATATAAGGTATTTCTCCCGCTTTCCTAGCGTGCCTTCGTGGTGTAGGGGCCACACACTAATCCGGTATTTCAGAGGTCCGTGGTTGCTAATTAATCCTGTCTCTACAGCAGACTAATAGATTGCGATCTTAGCGTCAGTGTAAGGAAACATAAGGAACCCTTTTGGGCGACCATTAAATTCTGAAACTTTTCAGTTTTTTTTTTTTTTTTTTTTTTTTTTTTTTTTTAGCCCAAAAGGTGTTAGCCCAGAAGGCATTTTGCTTGAAAACTTTAAATGCAAGTTTCACTTTTCATATTGTTGCCAACAAATATTATCACCCTGTGTTATATTTAAACAAATTAAATAATGAAGAATCTGTATGAATGTATGTATGTTTCTCGCACTGTAATAAAACAACGGTGTCTAGAGATATAAAATTTTGAATAACGTAATCTCCTCAGAATATAGACATCTTGAAGCCCTAATATGGAAGTTGTTTTATTATCGATTTCATATTTCGTTACACTTTAAAGAATTTTTGATTAACAGACTCAACGATTTAAAAGCGAGCAATCGCAACATTGTACGAAAAAAAACCAAATATTTTAATCACCAGCGTGCAAGACTGTGTACCGGAAATTCTAAAGATCCGCTCCTTTTAAAATCATTTTGTGATATTGCTGTTGAATTGAATTTTATGGTTTAAGTGCGGAGAACATGATATTTAATAAATAAGAATAACGCACAAAAAGTTAAAAAATTAAAAAATGTGAAAGCTTTCAGATTTTTTATTCCTTTGACAATTCCATTAAAATTTATCCGAAAGAGCTATCGTAAGGCTTTAATCATGAAAAATGTTGCTTATGCAAAATATATACACTTCATACTACTCGATGTTTGAAGATAATATGGAAGAAATAATTAAAATTTCATAAAAGACATTCATTTAAATGTTGAATTACGTGCTTAAAAATATTAAGAAATAAAATTACCGGAAACAGATTTAAGACGACATCATCGCTTTTCAGATTGTCGTGGAAAGCAGCTGTTGCATAGCAGGCAATAAGCGTCTGGGAAAGAGAAAGAAGTCTTAAAAGTCAGATTCCAAATTTTTCAAATAATACAAACAAAATTTTTATAAAAATTATTAAATATTGAAAATAAGAAACCTCCATATAATCAGGGAATTAGTAAAAATTACAGCATATAATAGCATTTTAAATTTATGTTTCTAGTATTAAACGTCATTATTAATTAACCTCTTTTATAAACATGTATTAGTTGCATTTTTATGAAAAAAAGTAGTTTAAAAAGATTAGGAAGAAGAAAATACAAATTCAAAATTCACCATTTTACACTAGTTACGTATTGTAAAATTCTGTCCTGCAACGTGTTTACACCTCTTACATATTTTCACCTATACAGTAACACTTTATAATATACTTAAGATCTTTATTGGAGAAGACATTTATATCTAAATTAACAAGAATCACCGTAATATTTGTAAATTTTTCAGGACTAGTTTCGATGGTTTAGCTACGGAACCAACAGCCACAGCTACCTAAGAGCAAATGAATGAGATAAGATAAAAATGTCTGGACAGAAAGTAAGCTACTGGCGCCATCTGTTGATAAAGCAAGAAAACCAAAACATAATTTCCTTAAAGGCTGAAGGTAAAGATGAATTGGAATTTGGGTCATTAACTAATACGAAAAAAATTTTTTGAATTTGAAACGTCTCTAGAAAATCTAATTCACCAATGGCAGATGTTTTTTGAATAAGTGCAGCTAGAGAAATGGAAAGTGTGATTTTCGGACCAACAGGACTGGGCAACGAAATGTTGGTCCGAAACGCGTTAGTTATAAAAATGTATTAGTTGGCTAGCACTGTTGGATCGAAAATCACACTTTTCTAGAGCCAAAATTATTCAAAAAACATCTTCAATTTGTGACTTCGATTTTCTAGAGTCATTTCACATTAAAAAAAAAGGTTTTCTTCTAGTTAATGACCCTAATTCCAATCCATCTTTTCCTTCAGCCTTTAAGGAAATTATGTTTTAGTTTTCTAGTTTTATCAACAGATGGCGACAGTTGCTTAATTTCTCTCTAACCATTCTTCTCTTATCGCCGTATCTTATCTCGTTCATTTGCAGTTAGGTAGCTGTGGATGATGGTTTTGTAGTTAAACCAACGAAAGTAGTCCTTCAAAATTTACAAATATTAAGCTGATTCTTGTTGTTTGACATCTCCAATAATCATTATTCGGCGTGTTATTTTAATCTAAATTACTTAAGATCTGGTTCATAAGGAATATGGTGAACTCTGCAAATATGTGTACACAAACGCCTACCACGTACCAAGCAGTAAACGGAGCATATGATATTGGCTTTATAGCTTAAAGGTATTGCATCTTTATGTAAGGACTCCTGTTCAAAAAGACAGAAAACTTAATAATAGTGAATCGGCATAAAGGTGCCCCACCCTTAATAAATCTACTTCTAGTATAAAGAAAGCAGATGCCTTAAAGGTACTGGCACCTCCAGGAAGCGATACAGCTATGCAAATATGCTCAAGTATAGTTTTAGTTTCCTATTCTGATTAGCAAAGTAAATGGAAATTTTATTTGCATAATATTATTCCCCAACATAAAGATGTCCATAGTGTTATGAAGTTTTTTTTTTTTTTTTTTTTTTTTTTTTTTCCCAAGTTGAAAGTTGATTTGCTTAAAGAATAGCTTTATGCAGTTTCTGTCTTTTCGAAAACTGCCCAAATTGCATTAGGTATCGGCGTTTTTATGTAATTTGGCTATTGTTCCAAAAAAATAGAAATCATCGTTAGAGTGTATCGAAATAAAAGTCCCCGTACTCTTATTCAGATAAACCTCTGACGTACTTCAGGATTAAATAGACCACTTTTGGGAATTGTCAAAATCAAATGATTAGTCGCCAGGTTTCGTAAATATAATCTTCAGATTTTTACCTGCAACAGATTTGTTTTTTAGACACTTTCAATTACGATGCTATTGGCGTGATATCATCGATTCAATAAATCTTTTTCCTTAGCATTTTAACTTATAGCCAATTAGAAAAGAAGCAGTAATATTTTGTGATATTTATGATGTGTCGCACTTTTTTATTTTCACGCTCGCTTTTGATCGTCTGATATCGTTCTATCGTTAACTATTTCCTTTTTAAATGTTAGCAATTTCTTAAAATAAGAAGTAGGTTTTATGATATAGTTTATTCTTTCGCATTCTTGGTTATTAACTTCCGCTCTAAAATGTTGACTGTATTTAACTTGCTATCAACAGAAAAAGAAACAGTGGCTTTCTTAAAAGAGCGCAGAATTTTGTATACTGTGAAAAGAGTGTAAATGTTATTTTGGGACATTTTTCTTGCATATTCAAAATTATATCTTATTCTGTGTTACTACTTATTTCACTTGAAAAAATGTAATAGATGCCAATACCTACCACGGCTGAATGTACTGGTCCCTTTGGTAAACCGGTAGTGCCTGAAGTAAAATTAATGCAGACTGGATGACTGGAGGGAAGCTGTTCGAATACTATGTCTGGAACGGAACCATCTGGATTCCTTCCACTCTGAAGAAATTCTTCTAAGGAGCAACTAAGAACAAAAGATTAATACCGATTAAAAGCTTTTTAACTCAAAATCATATTTTTTTGAATCCCCTTAAAATGAAATCTGAAACTGAGCAACAAAGCAATTTAGATTCGAGTAGATGCTGAGTAAATCCCTGAGAATTTCAAGACCGATCAAACATAGATCCTTCTTCTTCATGAGCAAAAAAATCTTGTTACAATTCGTATCTTATCACAATTATTAAAAAATACTAAACCATGAAACAAAAAGTTAAAAATTATCCTGTTCAGATTAAATGACTTTCATTCATATTAATAAGAACGCAGGAATTTGTATTAAGATAGCGTTTAGTTTTGAAGTTCTTTTGACGAATCTTAAATTTATTTTCAGCTTAATAAAAGAATAGCATAATGCACTGAAGAGCCAAAACATTACGAACACCTATTGAATAAGGCGTTATGTGACCTTTGACCTGCAAAACAGCTGCAACTCGCCTTGGCATGGATGTCTCAAGTTCTTGTTAGGTGACTGGAGACAGGTTGCACCAAATGTCTAAGCAGCGGTCATGGAAAATTCTAGATATTCCGACGTGGTGGTGTTTGAGCTTTGAGCTGCCGCTCTATGACATCCCAAATGTACTATATCGAATGTCTGATATGTCCGGCAAGTTAGGTGGCCAGTATATTAATTGGAATCCATCTTTATATTCCTCGAGCCACTCTAACACAGGTCGAGTCTTGTGACGTGGGGCGTTGTCCTGCTGGAAGATTCCATGTCCAGACGCCAAGTAAGGGTGCAGCTGATCCGCAATTATATTTAGATAGTCCTTAGCTTTCATGGTCTGTCTTTCCACAGCTAAGGGTTTCCCAGCCGCTCATGAGAATGTCCTCCACAGTTACCACCAGCCTGTGTATGACCTGCTATACACGGGGGAGGGAGCAACTGTTCTCCTGAAAAACGGCGTTTTTTAATTAGCTTTCACTAGGATGCAAATGAGTTATGACTATTTAAGGCAGGATTCTCGAAATTTTCAGCGATGCAGCTTTTTGCAGTAACGCTCGCTGTTGTACGTTTCTCTCATCCAGCTATGCTAGGTTAGTTAACCGAAATTAGCCATTTTGCTAGCCGAAGTTAAATCGTGCAATTAAAAATTTGATCCAACGCTTAGTTAAGCCATTTGTACTACAGTCTTCTGCTTCGAATTACTTTAATTTACGATTCTACCTTTCTGTTACCGCAATGGCGGTAACAGAAAGGTATTGAAAAGGAAAGGTATTCCGAAAATGGCGAAGATTTAATTCGTACGGCACAAGTTGCGTAATTATTAAGTTCAAACTTTAATAAAGGGGTTATTTAAAACCTTATTAGGACTGTGATATATTTTCACATATGTAGTGATAACTCGTTTCACAGTCTAAACAGGGTTTACACACTTTAAGTTAAATTTACATAAAGGAGAACCATACAGAGTAAACACGGAGAATCAGGTAAGCACTTTTTGGGATTCAAACCCCAGATCTTTCAATTGCTACCATTTACACCATGAAAACGCGTACCAAGGAAGAGAAAAATTCATTACTGATATTTTGAATACTGATTTAACCACTAAGGGAAGTAAAAAAATATAAAAAGGAAATAAGCAGTCAAATTTACCCATTTCGTATTTGTAAAATTCCTCTGGTTAGCGTTTCATCTTTGGTGGGTATAATAATAATCTTCTGTAAAGTTGGGCAACCTGAAAGAATATTATAATTTCATTTCGACAGGACTTTAAATTATATTTTATTTATGATATCAAAATCTGCAGATAACATTCTGATTATTTAATTAATATGTGATGAATATAAATCGACTTTAAATCTGAAACAGCAATTATTATTTCCTTGTACAAAGTAAAGGAAGCAGTGCAATCGGGAAAAAAATTCGGATATCGTATTTGAACGAAAATATCCGTTTTGACAGCTCTTTATTTCATTTGAATGATATTTTCATTACATCTGTTCGTACAAACAGAATAATGCACTCTTTTTCCCAAAACGGATTGTGAAATGGATTTAAAATGGATTTAGATGATATTTTTTTCGTGTCGTCTGTACGTAAGCATGTACGTATGTATGCATATCGCATAGTTAAAAAGGAATAGCCTCAGAGCGTTGACATTTTGTATATGGGAATGCTATAACATGTGAATGTGCACCTCCCTTTTTGGTTGCAATTAGCCGCACACACACACACATATATATATATATCCACTCTGTTACCAGGCTCGGCGAGCTAAGTATTTTTAATTTTTATTCTTATATTTTGATAAATTGTGTATTTTTTGCTTTAAAAGGGATTGAATTATGTTGTTCTTGTGTTCCAGTTAAGATTTTTATTCCTTTAGTTAATCTGCTTGCAATAGTTGCAATGAATATTATAAAATTTGTTTAAGTTCCACTAAGCCTAACGACGCCGCCATTTGTTTACCTTGAAACTTAGCAGCCTAGGAAAATTCTGTTTCTGCACCACCTCCAGTGTCATTTTGCCAAGTGAGGCCACATGTTTTGTGCAATCTTTAATTTAAACTCTAATTTTAATTGCAAAAATTGTTTTTAACTCCATTTGGTGTTTTATGTTTTTCGGTATTTTGCGATGTTATAAGTTTTTATATATTTTTTTCTATGCCGAAGTGAGAACTGAATTGATTGAATGAGAAATATAGCTCTGATGAAATTCGAGGAAGTAAGTTTAAATGTAATGCAGCAAATATTGCGCATAATTAAATAGACCGTACAGGAAAGTCATGTGGTGTCCACATCAGATTTTTTCCTTAAAATGCTTTTCTCTATAATTTAAATTTCAAAATGAAAATGCTTTCTCTTTTCTAGAACTAAAGATAAATAGCTACTTTTAGTTGATATCCAGCAGAAACGTTACTTCAATGAGCTTGAGAATACGTAACATTATATGTGTCTTCAATTTTTTTAATATCATATTTTATTAAAATGGAAAATTTTTATCAACAAAGTAAAAAATATTAAATAAATTCCCAGTTTCGCTTACAATATCTGTAAATAGCAATAATAGTGCAAAAGAGAAATTCAAATTTATATTTATTTTTATCTGAAATCTAAAGGCTGGTAGCTGCAAAAGGTTTCTGCTTGTAATTCAAACATACTGACAGTTAAATATTAAATTTTCGGACTGACAGTCATTTCAAATAATCTTAGTATGTTAATTACTCGTTAAATAATTTACTTTAAATTAATTTAAAAATAAATGAAACTATGAAAATATATTTTCCAAATGTGACAGGTGGTGGTGGTGGTGTATTTAATTATGGCAAAGCACACTAGGTTTATCTGCCTAATGGTACGGATGCCTTCGTGGAGGACTTTCTAAGAGAAACTGGCTCGTATACACGTTACACATGGGGAAAACCACGAAAGCGCCCATGCAGCCAGCCCGTTCGCGGGATTCGAACCTCGGAACGAACTACCAGTGTTCAGCGACTTTACCGCTCGGCCGCTGGTGGGCGCTCCAAATGTGACAGAACTTTAAATGTGACAGAATAAATAATGAAAGTCTTATTGTTATCCATTAAGCTTTTTTTCTGGGGATAAAATCAATACATGTTTTTGTATGTAAATAACAGTGATTTGTTTTAATTTTTTACATTAGCTTGACTCTCGATGGAGTTTCGATTTTTATAAAAATTATCTTTCGACAAGTAAGAATAAAAGGGGTATCAAATGTGTACTTTTAAAATCTTTGAATAAGATTTATATTACACTATAAATTAATTAGGTCTTTGTAGATTTTCTGGTAAACCTTCGCTTTCGTTTCGAATGGTAAAGAAAGTAATGTAAATTCGGACTTCAATAAGTAAAATCTTGAAAGCTTTTCAACAAATATATAATTGAAAGGTATTCGGGTGCCTCACATGCGGCCCGAAAGCTTGATACCGCAAACCTGTATCCATGCAACTGACAGATTTTAACATTTAGGGACCTAAAATAGGAAACTATTTCTAAAAATGAAATATCTGTATGCTAAATTAGGGAAAAAATAGTTTATTTATGGATATAATTATATAAAAATGTTTTTGGAATTTCATTCTGTTGTATTCTTCTTTCTACTAGTAACTAGTAGTCGTTTCTATCGCTGTATTTCTATGGTTACTATATTTTCACAGCCACAACTGAAGAAGCCGGCTCTATTTAACTTCGAAATTATAGCCTTGAAACTTAATGCTTCTTTCGTTAATTCTTGTTGCTAATTATTAGTATTTATAACAAATACATTTATTATAATTATTTAAAATAAAGTACCTATTGGAACATGAGAAAAAATTTCCTTGAAACAGTTCAATTTCTTTCTAATCTCAAAACCGATTATCCGATGAGATAAATTATCCAGATCCATATTTGGTTTCATTCAGTACAGAATACTAAGGTTCCATGTGTATGCTTTGCATACGATCAGAGAAGATTTGATAACAAAATAAACAAATCGATAAACAATACCCTTAAAAAGATTGTTAATTACAATAAAAAAGGAGGTAGATGCTGGTGAAAAAATGTTACATATCTCTCCGCGGACGCACAGAAAAAATAGAATGCATATTGCTTGACACATTGAAAAATATTTGATGGAACACTCTAAACGGAATAGCAATTGAAATGTACTCAGGTAAATGGGATTTAATTTATTCTATTAATTTATTTGCTTTTAATGTTTATCTAAGCATTTAAATAAAATTGTTTTTTGTCTTCTGATATTTTCGTATGTCAGTGTTTAAACGTGTTATTGACATTACAGCCTATAATGTTTTTCTCACAGGAAAATCAAATTTGAAATTAAGATTAACAAATATTATCTGCCTTTAAGAAAAATTTAAAAAACAAGTGTTACTCACTGTTTGCTATGATCGGAAGATTATCCATGAGGTTGTAGTCTTTGCCGTTATCTTGATGGTGATCTATAGTGATTAAGAATTTGGCTTCCATTTTTCTAATTATGTTTGCAGCAGCCTGAAATAAAAAAAATCTGTGAATATTATTATTATTATTAAGATATAGTTTCCTGTCTTGCTGATTGGTATTCGCATTCTTTTCAGAAATTACCAATATAATTACATTGGCGGACAAAATCTGCATCATCTACAGAAATAAACATTTTATAGTACTAACGCATTATTTTGTTCACACAAAAGTTTTTTAGTTGCTGCAAATCAAGATATAAGACTGTTCCATGTTCATATTTGCATCATACAGACCTTCCGAAGTATTGTGTCATCCGATTTCTTTAAAATAGCGCGGCTAAAAGGGTAAACAGTCAGATTAAGTATAAAATTTAGACTATACTAGAAACTTGTATTGGGAATGACATAGATTTTCCATTTAACCCTTTCGCCGTCCTCTCCTGTTCGCAAACATTTCTCCCCAGCGGCCCTTTGTTTTTCGCAGCGTGGAATGTTGTTTTCTCTGTACATACATAACTTTCGTAGCGGATGAATGTAAATGAATATTAAATAAAATTATAAGGAAATAAAGCGTAATGGAAAAGTAATAATATCTCTGCTTATTTCTAACAGCAGGATTAATTTGATAACATCTGATCCAGGCTGTCCACTCCTCCCATTTTGTTGTTGTAATTTCTTTAAAATTATTGGTTTTCTACAGTTCTTTTCTGTGTTTCAACGTCAATCATAGAGTTATTATGGACTGTACTCATGAAACGTATAACCTTCTTGTCTTTCCAATTCCCAACCTCATTTTTTTCTCTTTGTCTGCTTAGTAGACGTTGAAAATCTCTCACTGTCTTGTATCTTATGTAAAACGGCGCGAATATTCATAAAACCCGGAGGGAGGATTCAATTAGAAATAGAATGCCTGATTAGTGTACTGCCTTCTAGGAGGTATTAGAACAAACAAAAATAAAAACTCAAACAAGTAAACATTTAGAAAGCGTTTTATACGTTTAAAAGTTTTAATTTTAGAAGAACGCTTGAAGCGCGTTACGGCCGCCCTGTAGAAGTTTCACTTGAACGCTCTAGACGCGTTACGAACGACGAAGAGGTTTTAATGAAGATATGCCATATCTGACTACGAAATGCTTTTCCTGTCCTGTGATGATCTGCGGCCCCTCTCCTTCCTCTCACTGTCGGTCTCCGGAGATCCACGCTCACGAACACATCACTGTCAAATGCCCTTTGGGCCTAATTTCATGGAGTCATAACACGTCGCACTGACTATGCGATATCTTCAGCATAACGTAGAACTTGGAGAAAAGGTCATTCGTCTCTTTCTTTAACCGCTGAAAGGATAACTCGGATACTGAAACAAGGAAAAAATTGTATGGCAGCTGCTTTAACTAGAGCTAACATGATAGGGGATTCCAACTTCGCTAATCATACAACCTTAATTTTATTGTAACAATATGATCTTTACATAAACATGTACATGAAATATTATACACTTGCACAAACTTTCCCAGGTGATGCAGTTTCTCTGGCTTCCACTGTATGTTTGATTTCTGTGTTATTGTAGAGACATTAGGATTTTTTGGAAGCAAGAGAGACTGAAAAATTAGCAACGCCTTCGCCGGGAATCGAACCACGGACCTCTGGAATACCGGCCCAGCGTGCAGAACCACTACACCACGAAGGCACGCCAAGAAGGTGGGAGAAATACCTTATATACTCCCCCCTTTTAAAGGGCGACTGGGTATCCAAATCGCCAAATGCTGGGTGTGGAGAGTCATCATCCACAACCCTTTTAGTTCGGGCGCCACTGTAGAGACATTGGGTATTTTTTTGAAAGCAAGAAAGGTGAAACATTAGCAACGCCTTCGCCGGGAATCGAACCACGGACCTCTGGAAATACCGGCCCAGTGTGCTGACCACTACACCACGAAGGCACGCTAGGGAGGCGGGAGAAATACCTTATATTATATCAAATATGATCAATTCATGTTTTTTTAATGCAGTTTGAATTGGTATTTAATGAAATTACCACTAATAATAATAATCTAGATTATCAGCTTGTGGTGACTCTTTTTAAACTACAGTGGAAACTCGGATCATGAAAAATTTGATTCATGGACAAATCATTGGAATAAAAGTCATATCAGATGAATGACAATAACACTCATGTTGGCAACATATGATTTTCAAAGGTGTTTTGTATAATTTATGCCTCATAATTAACGCTCAGGGCTTGTATTAAAAATAATTTTAATATTTTTATCAAATCATTTTAATATTTTTCATTGCTTAACTCTCATGAAAAAACTCTAGAAGTGGCTTACCATGATTTCGGCCGAGAAAAAATTATGACCAGATTGTGCTGTAAGTGTACTTTGACAACTACAGCACAATTGAACACTTTGACAATTAGGTCTTTTTCGTTATCTATGATATTATGTCTCTATATAAAACTGTTGCCTAAGATTTCACCAATGAAGACGCAGAGAAGTTACTAAAAACCCATAAAAATGAGATCAAACAGAAAGAATTACAGTAACTTCAAAAGCAGCAGAAAAAAAAAAAAAAAAAAAAAAAAAAAAAAAAAAAAAAGAGCAGTTGTGGAAGAACTTCGGAAGAAGAGGAAGAAAGAAAAATGACAATAATTCTATGATCCGCGAAATTTATGCAAATGGGTTAAAATGCAAAGTTTCCTCATAAAGATATCACTTGATAAAAAAACTACAGCATAAGTATTTTCAATGGTGATGTCATATACCAGTTTGAAACATTTTAAAACAAACGCAACATAAAATCACATTGGAAAAATTTAGCCCCCTGTATGTTTTGTACTTGTAGTTAATTCATTTAAGTTAGCTTTTTCTATTCTTTTCTGCTTATACTTATTCCCTTGAATTGTGAACCTTGAATTATGTATTTAGCTTCATTTAATGTATTATTTTTTATGTTTTATTTAATGTAATATTATTTTTTATTTTCTGTATTATTTTTTAATTTTTTTTTACCAGCCACTCTGTTAATTGCTCCTATTCATAATTAATGCACTATTCAGCTGATTATAACTCAGTTGTATCTGTATTTTAACTATCCATTTATTGTTTACGTTGTGGATGCCTACTGGCAGCACTTAAGTTGTAATCATATATCTATAACTCTGTAAATGTGAAACTGAAATTTTCTGTCCTCACCCGCATTGCACCCTTCTTCCAACACTTCATTGCTGACTCATCCAGCATTTGTTTGCACCCCCAGCACTCGTCTTGAGCACAATATGCACCAAAGTGTGTTATGTAGACCAGGTTAATTCCGTCAGCGGAGCTACCTGGCCGATATAACTGCCCCAGTGGATCGGCTGCTTCGCTGTCGGTGGAAAGAAATAAAGTGAAACAGACGCTCATTGAATCTTAAGTAGAGTCGAGTGGCGCTTATAAACCAAGGAAAGTTGAAAGATGCTCCCTAAGTATGTGATTTTTACCTGAAAGGGAATTTCGCATCCAAGCAATAACACCTATCTCATCATTTTCCACTTATGTTGTTTCTTTTATCCACTCTCCTTTGTGGAAATAAATATAATAAAATGAAATTAATCTCCCTTTGTACAGCTACTGTTGTGTTATACTGTCAGTTCAATTAGTACTAGAGACGTTAATAATTTCAAAACTCAGTTTTTGCCCATAAAACGTTGTCTCCAATGTCTCCAAACCACTTTTAAACTTTTTTTGCCATCAAATGTTATCGCCATGTGTTATTTAAAAAAATTAAATAATGAAGAATCTGTACTTAATTTAATACTCAGAACTTATACTCATGTTAAATTTTCATATTAAATACTCAGAACTAATTTTCATTCTAGTTAGCAATGCGGAAAAGAGAAGTTATAGTAAAGACTGAAATTATAATACTAGTTAATTAGCATAAGATATTCTTCAAAGGAATAAGTTAATGGTCAACTTATGGCCGCTCTCTAAAATTGCATATTATGTATATTATGTTTATAGTTATATATGTAAATTTATATTGCAGTATTTTTTAAATTACCCGCTATACGAAAAGTTAATATGCATCTCGAAACTGACATGTCTTTTTTAAAAAAAAATTAGAGCTGTAGAAGCTGTGGTGGTGCCATCTATTGAAACTAATGAAAACTATTTTCCTAAAAAGAGCGTAAAGTTCGTCAACGAAATATAAACATTCTAGAAGGGACATACATGATTCATAAAAATAGAACATTTTTGCTTTATTTTAAGAATTATGAGTTAATTAAAGTTATTTGTTAAATTTTGTAAAGGAAATGGATTTAAAAAAATCTTCATAAAGTTATAAAGATATTGAACTTTAAGCTGTATTTGGGAGGGGGGGTGATGTTTTGAAGGTACCCTCTGGGAAAGTAAAAGGGGACAATTTTACATCTCCTGCTCCAATAGGCTGACTGACGAAATTTATTTTGCGTTTAATATTCTTCGAAACCGCAACTTAAAATAAATATCTGATTTATATATATTGTTTTAATACAGGTATTCTGACACAAAATCGAATCGGACTTTTTGGCTGAAAGACGGACAATTTTTTTTTCATATTTCTATTCTACGATTAGAACTATGACTACATTTTAAATTCTGTAAAATTGGGTGGGAAACTTACGTAGAAATTTAAAATTTTATCTTGGCGCAATTTTTTGAGCTTGCACCAAGAGTAATTTACTTGCCGAAATTCTGAATTTATGGTAACCTATTTTTCTTTCCCTTTCATTATGCGCGGGAGAGAAAAAAGGCGATTCGACCATTTCTTCAAATAATTTTAACTAAATGTAAACCACATATCGGTTAATATCGTTAATATCGGTTATTAATATCGGTTATAAATATATGCAAAATTATTTCAAAACGCGCTTATGCATAAACTCACGTATGTTTTGGGAAATATTCAATAGAAAATTCTAATTTAGGTTAAAATAACAGGCCAACAAATATCAATTTAAAAAGCAAAGAACAAAAAAAAAAAAAAAAAAAAAAAACAGTGTTATATTTCCAAATTTTCACAGGACTAGTTTCGTGGGTTTTACCGAAACAGCAACCTCAGCTGCCGAAGTGCAAATGAACAAGATAAGGTATAGTGAAAAGATAAGAATGGCTGAATAGGAGTTCCTGGCGCCATCTATTGATGAAACAAGTAAACTAAAATATAATTTCCTTAAATGCTGAAGGTAAAGATGAATGGAAATTAGGGTCGTTAACTAGAACAGAAATATTTTTTGAATGCGAAACGTCATTACAAAATCTAATTCACCAATAGAAGGTGTGTTCTGAATAATTTTAGCTGCAGAAAAATGAAAAGTGTGATTTTCGAACTAATAATGCTGGGCTACAGAGAAATTATGTATATCCTTTTTCCTAACATATCCCTCGTATTCTTTAATGCGAAATTTCAAGGCTATCTTATTTTAACCAATGTAAATTAAACCACACTGGCAATGAATCCTGTTAATACCCCAGGATTTCAAATCAGGAATGGGGTCCTGAAGTATGGAATTCGGAATTTTATTGATAGGAGAACGAACGACTCGAAGGTTGAATTCCTGTAAAACATTTGCAATTTTACAGAAACTTTCGGGCTGTCCTTTTTTCTGCAGCCAAAATTACTCAAAAAGCATCTTTCATTCGTGAACTACGTTTTCTAGAGGCGTTTCACATTCAAAAAATATTTCTGTTCTGTTTAACTACCCTAATTCCAATCCATCTTTACCATCAGACTTTAAGGAAACGATCTTATAGTTTCATCAATAGATGGCGCCAGTAGCATAACGCCTGTGCAGCCATTCTTATTTTATCATTATATCTTATCCCATTCATTTGTACCTTGGCAGTTTTATGGACCCGATGTATTTTATTATCTATCTGATTAACTTTGTGAGAAATTCACATAATCGTTGTAAAACGCATTAAGCGGGTTTGCGAAAGTTTGCAGAGAGCTTCTGGATATGGATTCAACATTCTTACGTCCGTGCTGTTAGAGGACAGAAATTACACCTTGTTAATCCTATGTTAACTCACTCGAGCTCCATAGTAGGGCTGTGGTCCACTCCAAATAGCACCGATGCTTGTGGTCGCCAGCATGGCGAAGATCGCTTCTTTTCTATTTGACATGTAACCTGCGAAGACAATTGAAATTTCCTTTACAGAATGCATAGTATATTAATCATTCAGTTTTAAATATAAAGAAAAGTCAACAAGTTTAATACTTTGCCTAAAATGTGAATTTACAATTTTGGATGAATTTTTCGTGTAGGTACAAAGAATTGCATGTAAGAGCTTGCATGTAATACAAAGAATTGTATTACATGCAAGCTCTTACATGTAACACAATTCTTTGTTCTCGTATACTGCAGATATAAAAAAACATATACGTAGGAAAATGTGCATGAATGCCTGAATACCTTTAATATTAAATGATTATTATATTATTTTTACTGTTATTATTATTATAAGAAGATAAAAATTTCTACGCAACGGGTATAGTGGTTAGCGTTGCTGACTGCCCTGCCGAAGCGCCTGGGTTTGAATCCCGAAGAAGGCGTGGATGTCTGTAAATGTATAGTGTCAGTGTGGCGCTCTAAATATGCGGCGAGCCGAAAGTCCTTCCATGTCGTTTAGTTGAAGGGGAAAGGGGTGGGGGTACTTCATCAAAACTGGCGGCGGAACTATCACCTAAATAGTGGTCAAAGCTATTGCCAACGGCAGGTTTAATCTAGCGTTCATTGCCACCAGGAATTTCGTGGGCTTGGGCTGAATACGTCAGACAAGGGAGCCTAAATAGCAACAACAGATAATAAACAATATAATGTTAAAATATAATATTTTACGACAGGAATGATTTAATATTTGTACAATTCATCGTAATTTAAAATTATTATCGAAGGTAAAAATCTCAGCCAATTTTTATATTCTGCATTTAATTATTAAAATTATATATAAGTGAAATTTCTTCTTTTTCAAGAAGATTAATTATTCCGTATTAAAAAATTGGCAAAATAAGCATTTAAATGTCTCAACCATTAAGAAAATCGCTACTGAAATTTAAACATTATCTGTATTGAACTGCGTATGTTTTTTTCCTTTTTGATTTGGTCAGTTACATATAAATAGTTATGTGTAATTCTTTTAACGTTGATCCTTAAAACATCTATGATGAAAATTACAAAGCTACTGATGGAATCTATGTGCATACATTCAATGGCGACTTCCAGAAACACTTCAGCTCTATAACACCGTCCACTAATACTTCAGACACACAAAATATTTTTATTTCAACTGCATAATATATATTTTCTTTCATAAACTTTGTACAATCTTACACTTTTAATGTCACAAGAACACAAATGATAGGCTTCGTCTAAAAATAAAAGGTTTTATCCTCAAAGTGAGGCGTTCATAATTTCTCTTGATTTAGTGATACTTAGAAGGTGCAAGGATAAAGAAATTTGGAACTGAAATATCAGGGAATATACTGAGAGCTACTGAGCAATAGTGCGGATAATATCTATTTTCCAAAATATATGTCGATGTTGTGTAGCTTGAGTCACTTCTCAAAAAATATCTGAGCCTTGCTTATGAATGTGTGACCAGTGCCAAAGGTATAAGTTGTTACATTCTTAGACAACTGTACAGAATTATTGTGAGTACCTTGTAAGAGATAGTGTTGTAAATGTTTGTCAAATTCTGTCAAAGTTTTTCACAACAATTTGTTTGGTTTAGTACATTCATAATGGGAGGACTTGGGGATTCAAAGATCCCCGTGTCACAAGAGAGTTGAAGTGGACCAGCTCGAAAGTGAATGGATAGTCGGGTATGCTGCATGACAAGATTTTAGAACCATTTTTCTTCAATGAGCAGAAGTAACAGCCAGAGTTTACCTCGTACGTCGATTAAATACCTTTCGTACACTAGAAGAACAGTCAGCTAGAGTCATTTTGTCTCATGCGGAGGTTATGAAGCTTTAGTAATATGACACAAAATCTTTGAACTTTGCTTGTGAAAGTGCGATTAGTGCAAAGGTATAAATTGTTCCATCTCCAAACAACAAACAGTAAATTTTTTCAGGAACTTTGTGGACGCCCCGTATGCTTCTTTCTTTTTTGCATTTTGTCCACCTACTTAAACAATAGTTTCAGTACATTTAAATTCTTCCCGAGAAGTGCAGTAATTTGTATAAAAACACTACTTTTGAAATGCCGATAACTTTCAGTAACAAAGACTCACTGAAATGGTTAAAGGCTAAAATATCGCGGCAGAAACATACCGGACGAAAAGGTCGCGAAGAAAGCAACGCAAAGCGAAAACGACGTCATTTAAAACATCGTAGGAGAGAAGAAAGCACATCTCAGCTTCGAAACATCGTAGTCGAAAATAAAGCGATTCAAAAACTTCTGAAAATAAAAACATCGTCTTCGAAAATATCATTTTTTAAAAAAAGGCGCTTTCTAATCATCGCACGACGACAACATCACAGCCTTTAAAAGTTGTTTGATATTCGCATAATGATTTGTGAGAACAAAAAGGAATGAGAAACTTTTTTATTTTTCTATTTTTCAGCAAACTAATAAATTAAACTTAAAATAAGTATAAATGAATTCTAATTTTATGATAGGATAATTAATTAAACAAGTTTAATATAGGTAACCACATGCAGTTACTGGTCTTCCTTTTCCAGACTACGTTTTTCATGAAAAATACCAATAAAATTTTATAAAGAAAGATAATTAATTAATGGCCTTTGTTAGTTAACTGTAAAAGTTTAAAATTCTATTAACAGCTATATCTATAATTATTTTCTACTCAGTTTCAGTCTCCGAATGCTTAATTTCCTTCTAAATTTTTCAACAAAAAAAAAAAAAAAAAAAAAAAAAAATTTAAAAATATAAAATCTAAAAGTAAAACCATTCCTCATTCTAAATAATTTAAAAATCTAAAAGTAAAACCATTCCTCATTCTAAGTAATTTAAAAATAAAAATCTAAAAGTAAAACCATTCCTCATTCTAAATAATTTAAAAATATAAAATCTAAAAGTAAAACATTCCTCATTCAAATAATTTAAAATATTAAAATCTAAAGGTAAAACCATTCCTCATTCTAAATAATTTAAAATATAAAATCTAAAAGTAAAACCATTCCTCATTCTAAATAATTTAAAAAATATAAAATCTAAAAGTAAAAACCATTCCTCATTCTAATAATTTAAAATCTAAAAGTAAAACCATTCCTCATTCTAAGTAATTTAAAATATAAAATCTAAAAGTAAAACCATTCCTCATTGTAAAATAATTAAAAATATAAAATCTAAAGTAAACCATTGCCTCATTCTAAATAATTCAAAAATATAAAATCTAAAAGTAAAACCATTCCTCATTCTAAATAATTTAAAAATATAAAATCTAAAAGTAAAACCATTCCTCATTGTAAATAATTTAAAAATATAAAATCTAAAAGTAAAACCATTCCTCATTGTAAATAATTTAAAAATATAAAAAATAAACTTTCCTCATTCTTCTTTGCGGTCATAAATCATTATGCGAATATAGGAATTTTTAAGGCGCATGTATGCGACGTTATCGTTATACGATGATTTGTAGGTGCTTTTTTTTTTACCACGATATTTTCAATGACGATATTTTTAAACTGCGAAGTCTTTGAACCCCCCTTTTTTTGACGACGATGATTTGTACCACGATATTTTAGAACTGTGATGTTTTCTCCTTGTTTTCTTTTCTTCCAAGACGTTTTGTATGATGACGTTTTCGCCTTGCGATGTTTTCTCCGCGACATTTTCGTCCGCCATGTTTTCGGCGAATTCCATTGAAATGGTTATTTCTCTGCAATAAAAAGCTGGTTTTCAATCGATTTGCATCGAAGCAAAAGTTAGCGGATATTAAGAAATAAAGCAGTTTGTTCAAAATTTTTGCTACCTAATTCAGTGTCTTAATATCGTAATTAGATATGAGGGAAAGTTAGATTAAAGTTCACAAGATAACTGTAAGTGATTTTCCAATCTACTTACTTTTCTTAAAATTAGTTATTTCTTTTCAGATAGTATTTAATTTACGCTTTGACATATTTAAGACATATTTAGACACAAATGTGAACCTGTAGGAAAATGTGACGTGACACAAGATTTTATTTAAAGCGCAACTTGATATCTGCATCTTACTTAAGTACAATGTGACAAATCTTTTACTGAAATGTTTTCTATGTTCAATTAATACTCACCGGCTACAGTGTCTCCTATTTTTAAACCCTGTTTTCGGAATGCCGCTGAGTACAACTTAACCTCCTCGAACATCTCAGCAAAGGTGACTGTCTCTTCGTACCCGGTCTCATCTGAATAAAGAAGTCTATTTAAAATTTGGGGTTTAATGAAATTTAAATATAAATAACACGATTTCCAGCAAGTATTTATAATTTGTAATTATTTTTGATGAGCAATATACAGGGTGGTTATAATTAAAGTTCTACTTTGAAATGGTCATATTAGGAAAACTACTCGACCAAATGTTGTTGAACTTGGTGATCGTGTAAAGGAGGTCATGGAATTCAACTCACCACCAGGGGGGATGGGGCTGCGTTAAAATTATTAAACGAAATAAGGGTCGAAATCTAACTTAAAATTTTGTTACACGGGTTTAACATGTTGTATACCTTTAAGAAGCGTTGACCTAAACAAAGTTACCATTTAAAGGCCTTAAAGACGCCTTTAAATGGTAGTAGAGTAGAGTAGAGTAGAGTGTAGTAGTAGAGTAAGTAGAGTGCGCCATCAGTGTAACAGAGAAATCTGTCAGTAAAAAAACACAAATTAGCGATTAGAAAAGGTGAGATCGCAAATCACACGCTAAAGTTTGCGCATTCCGGAAATCGGTTACTTACAGATCACTAATTTGTGATTTTTGAAGCCTGAATTGGGCTCTAAGGCATGGAGATATCGGTTTGAAAGTTTTTTAATCGTTTCTAAAACGAAACTGTTTATGGGGTTATGCAAAATCTCATTGTCTTATAAACGGCTTACGGCAGCACTGTTTATGTTGATAATCTAAGCAGTTTGAGGGAATCGAAAGATGCGATACACCAACATGTCTGTAACATTCCTCCTGATATACTAAGAGCTGCTGTTGAGAATGCAGTAATATGATTAAACTTGCTTTCGGAAAATGGTGGACGCTAAATTGAGCCTGCTTTGTAACACGTTTCAGAAACAATTAAGCACATTTTAAACCGATGCCTTCATGCCTTATTTCGTTTAGCAATATTGCATACAGTGACATTCCTCCCCCGGTGGTGAGTTTTTGAATTTGTGTTTTTTCACCGAAAATAATTTCTAATGATCTCCTTTACACGATTAGCAAGTTTGATAACATTTGGTTCAGTAGTTTTTCTTGTATGACTATTTCGAAGTGGAACTTTAATTATAATCACCCTGTATATTATACATGTATATTTATTGTAATTACAATTATTGTATTTACAATAGATACAGCAATATTATAATTATATGTAACTATATATTTACAATATATATTATACATATATATATTTGCAATATAAATATTTACAATTTATATTACAATTAGGGAATAAATAAAGATTCACAAGAATGGGAACAATACAGCTTTTAAATATTAGTGACACACACACATTTGCATTACAGGTGAAGAAATAAAATGTGTAATAGTTAAATAATTCTTATAATGCATTTTAAACAAAATAGATGGTTAAAGAAAAGGTTCTACTATATCCGTTTTATACATATATCAACCAAAACATTTTACATACGAACTTCCAAGGAAACTGTTTAATTTGCGCTGTATCAGCAAAAGCAATTACGGTATTTAAATTTATAAAAATTTTAACTTTCTCATGAAACAATAAAATAAAAATACACATATAAAATTATTTAAAAAGATGTATGGTAATAAATTAAAATAAATTAAGCAATGCAAAAAATATTTTTAAAATTTGTTTAAGCAAAAGAGAATACAAATGGAAAAAACTCCAAAAGAATAAATAAGTTTGATCTAATAAGCTCTTATCAGATGAGTAGACGTGATCAAATAAATCTTCTTAAGCCACATTTTTCTCGATGAGAGATTGGTTAAATCAATCTTATTTTCTTCTGGAATTTTAGTGATAATTAGTTAATTAATTAGCACAGGAATATTTTCACATCACAGTTTACACATAGAAAATTCTTAACTTTAAAAATACATTTTTTATTTAAAACACTTTTGCTTATTTAAATTTTCAGAATTAAAAAAAAATTATTTGTGTTTCTAAATATTTAAAATTTTTATTTAATTAAGATTTTTTACATTAATATGAAGCTTATTACTCTCAATACATATTTTGATATACATTGAAACATTAACATAACGTAGAATTGTACTCTTTTCGGAAACATAAATGTTGTACTCTTTGAAAAATGGTAATAAATTGCTCTTAAATCGACGAGTTTATTAAACATAATGTCATTAAATGGGCATCACATATGAAATATATGAAAAAAAAAAAAAAACTCCAAATTCAAAATTTTTACTTCCGGGTGCACATGTTTGTGTGAAGGACTACATGTATCCAAAATTCGGTGGCTCGAGGTGTCGGGCTTTTCCACAGTGGGAGGAACGTACATACATACAGATTCCACATTTAACAATACAGATTATACATCTAACATTTTTATACACGTAGTGAGCAAAACGTAGGCATTGTTTCTGATTTTGACCATAATTCCTCAAGCAATCAGCTGGGAACATGATATTCATTTAAAAGAGGAGGAAAGTATAGAAGCTAAAAAATGAACAGGACACATAATTACGGAACGAATAGAAAAAAGGCTTTATTGATAGAATGGCGTTGGTACAAAAATCTATCTGGTCAAGCAAGAGAAGAACAAACCAAAGAAATTTACTAAGGGCTATGAACTTCCCTATCTAGAATGGTTACACATTGGACCATCTGTCGATGCTCAACACCTGATTATCTTACAGTTCTTGGGGTAAGAGTTCCCATTTTTCAAGGAGCATCTGTTTCGTTTCAGCTCTTTGGTGTTCTCCGAAGGGTAAAATCGTCTCCCTAAAGTATCTCACATATATTCAATGGGATTTAACTCAGGGAAGCACGTTGGCCAATTCATTCTGTGGATATTTTCACTTTCCAGGAACTCCTTAACAGCACGATTCCTAGGTGACCCTACGTTTTCGCCCTAAAAACAAAGCTGGGACCAGTGACACCTTGGAAAAGATAAAGATGCATGTCGAGGAGGATAACTTCATCACAGTAGCGATCTCCGGTAAGTGAACATCTGTAGAAAGTGTGGAGCTCCGTCCATCTGTTCATCATAATGCCTCCTTATTCAAGAAGACCAGGGTCACCCAACGATCACCGCACTCAACCTCTTTCTCTGATTTTAGCGGAATGAAAGCTTGTCCCTACCTCTATCTATACATTAACTGGTGTTGTGAATCGTTTCTCAGACTGAATGAATCTCTCCGGTAAAGAGCACTTGTTGTAACCAATCTCACTTGTCTCACAATGGTCAGCACAAGCCCACGACATGCACGGTGGCAAGGAGTAAAATGCGCCTATCGTTGGTATGAGCCTTCAGCGCCATACAGATGACAGCCCATATTTTAGCTCAGTTCCACACCCAGTTTTGAGAGGTAGCAGCGCGAAAGGACCTCTCTTCATGTGCCCCCGTATCGCACAGACACTATGCATTTACAAACATCCATACCTTCTCTGGGATTTAAACCCGAGCTTTTCGGTACGGAAGTTAGAGCCATTAACCACTATAACAGTTGGGGGTGAAGAGAACTTGACTCCATTGATGATGTGTCCAATCGTTATGTACCGCCAATGGGTTGCTGTCAGTGATATGCAGAGTTTAGGACGGTTGGCAAATAGGTCACCTTTATGAAGTCTTCTGCGATAGTAAACCGGGACACTTGCCGTCCAACTGACGTGCACAACTGCTGAACAAATTGCTCGCTGTCTGTTTTCAATCTCTTATCGCATGCAGAGCGATATATCGGTCATGTTTCAGACCACCAAGCTTTTTTACAGCTTTACCTGTCATTCTTGGGAGACCAGCTGATTCTGCCACGTATAAAGGCATGCTTATGTTTTCTTGCAGCCATACTGTACATACAATCTCAATTTCACTTGCGGAAGAATGCCAGGAAATGTACCTTCCGTTCTTGCCTTGCCTCGCACTATTCACACTGACATCTGACGTGCCCTCTGCGTCATGTTGTTATATCTGCATATGCATCATCTCTGTATTGTAGCTCTTCATTACACTGATCACAAAAAGCCCCTTTTATCAATTTCATGGTTGTAGGTTGAAATACGAAATTTTTTCTTAAATTTTTCACATTAATATAGAATTTACAAATGCTCCTCAAAATAGTTCCTTAAGCAAAGTTATAACAAGTTGTTAATGTATTTTTGAATAAATTAGAAAATTTCGAAAATATGTAAGAGTTAGCAGAAGTTTCCTCGCCGAGAACTTTCAATAATAGCTTTCAATTTCATTTTCTAAGACCCGTATATTAAATAAAGAAAACTATTCGAGTATATCCTTAAATGAATTGCTTTAAACTGATAACAGACCAGAAATTTGCTGGGATACAAAGCTGAAATTATATATATTCAAATTTATCAGAAGAAATTTGACATAGAAAAATCCTTTTGCACTCCTGAACTGTTGATTAATTAATTGGTTTTATGCTCTTATATTAAACTCTTGCTAAAATTTAAGAAACCCTAATGCACTATTATAAGAACTATCCTCCATTATTTAGTGCAGTACTAAAATAGACATTTCAAGGTCATTTCGCCTAAATCATGCCTTCTAACCATGGTAACGGAAACATCCTATCGGAAAAATGGTCGAAATCTCTAATTTGCCAAGTTCCCTTAATTTTTCCTGTGCGGTGATGACGACACATGCTACAAGCAGAAATGAAAGGAGGGTCCCTGCGCCTTTAAATGTCTATTTTAAAATTGCAAAACACAAATTTCCAATAAACGAAACTATGAAATAAATTACCCAGGTAAATAAGAGCAACTCTGTCATCCCTTATCCTCAGAATGTTTTCAGCATAGTTGAAAGCTGCACCAGGGAACCAATCGTAATCTAAAAATCCATCGCCGGTTTTCACTACCACCTGAAAAATATAAAGTTTTCATGTGCTGTTTGAAAAAAATGAAAAGTAAAAGTACTCAAGAAAATAATATAGGTTCATAAGATAAATTAAGTAGCATATTTCGCTATAGCAATACTTCCTTTACTTAGTACAAGGAAGTAAAAATATATTAATATATTTATATATATGTTACCGTGAAAGACCGAAATTGGAGAATGTCGACTTTCACCGGAGAATGTCAACATTCACCAAATACGTCGGTGAAAGATCGAATATTGCTTTACATTCTTGTAAATTCGGACCCTTACCGGTGCATGTCGACAATCACAGATATGCTCTGGTGTAGGTCAAAAAGAGAGGAGTATATGTACACGCTGACATGCAAAAGGAAGTGTTCCGCAAATAAATGCAGTTGTAAAAGTAAGGGCCTCTTGTGCAATTCAACGTGTCATAATAGTTTAAGTTGTTGCAATAAATAAGATTTGAATCACATAATTTGGTAAGTTTTTAACTTCTATTATTTTACTTTCTCATTTTGAATGTACTGTGTGTTTTAAGTTCTTATATTCTTAAGTTCTTATTTTAAGTCTCAAGTGCATTTTTTCGCGACTGAATTACGGAGAAGAAAATATAATATTCTTATATGTTCAACATTCACCATTAGTACAAAGGGGAATGTCGACATTTACCGGTGTATGTCAGAAATAAGAGTATTTGGAAAGTATTTCGGACATACACCAAGTGACTATGTGAATGTTGACATTCTACGGTCGACATTCTCGAGGTTTCGACATTCTCCAGATTTCGGTGTTTCACCGTAACATATATATATTAATATAATAAGAACTACTGCAGCATGTGCTGCTCGTTTTAAAACTATCGCATTAATGAAACTTATGCAGACCATGTTAAATTTGAACGGAAAAATAAGAAAAAAGTACCTTCTCATAAGGTTTGGATGTGATGACGCCAAAATAATTCCATACTTCCTCCCAGAAATTGTCATAATGTTCTATAGACCATTTATGGAAATCCCAATAAGAATCTGTAAAGAATTAATACATGGAAGATAAAATTTTCGGAGTAGTTATAAAACACTTATTTACAGGAAAACAGCAAAAGAAACACTTAGACCTCTGCCTATCCAATCAAAAATTATACTAAAAACCTCTTGTTTGACTCGTTTTACAAGCAGACGGTTTAGAAATTTAGGAGCAAAAATGAATCTGTAATTTCTAAATGATGTACCATTTTCTTGCATTCCAGCTTAGTTTCTTCTGTCGTAAACGCGGAGTAACATCGTTTGGATAGCATTTATAACAACAACTAGTATATCGATATATAGCCAAAGTATTTTACACTTCAGGCTATTCAAAGTGTTACACCAGGAAAGAAAGTAAATAGTAGATTTTTATTTACTGTGTCAATATAACAGTATAATAACTGGAAAACATGATTAAATTCGCAAGCAGTTTCCGGTACAAGCGGTCAGAATTCAGTACACAGACTTGCCATTTCTAGTTTCTTAAATCAAAAATTGGAAATGGCTAATTACTGTATGTATCATTTTTATTTTTAAATAAATTTTGGGCAAGTTATATTTTCAAAAATTTCCTTTTATATATTTCAACTAAAGGCTTATAAAGGAAGTAATATACACATGCAATTAAAAATGGTATCTTTTAAATGTTTAATGTAGTTATCATTTTAAAATACTATAAGCTAGTCTCCCGTAGATGAAGAGCCCACCAGCGGCCAAGTCGCTGAACACTAATAGTTCAGTCGGAGGTTCGAATCCCCGCAAACGTGCGTCTGTATAGGCATTTTCGTAGTTTTCTCCACGAAAGACAAAACGAGCATGTGTAATGTATATACGATTATACTAACCAGTTTCCGTAACGTATATACGAACCAGTTTCATGCAACGTATTTCTAAGGAACCAGTTATCCTTAGAAAATCCTCCAGGAAGGCATTCCTTCCCTTAGGCACAAAGCGCTTGAGTTCTTTGTCATAACCAACCCGCAAATGAAAATGGCAAACTGTGCGACGAAAATTTATAGTACCGTCTTGTAAATATAAGCATTTACAAAAACTTGAAAGTTAAAGATGTGAAATTTGAAAGGACTTCATAAAAGTCTTATGAAATTTCAGAAATCCTGTTCGTGTATGTTTATGCAAAGTAGACGACGGGTACTATTATGATACGGATATTGTTGTAAAATTACTGAAGGTCCAACCTTTTGTATAAAAAACATGCATCGCTTATTGTGATCAACGATTTGGCCAATGTAATCAAAATAACATATAATAATTTTTTAAAAATTTAAGTAAAGCCGCCAAATAAAAGATAAAGTCACCAAATAATTTATAAAAAAACTTTAAAAAATTTCCTGAAAATGTCTGCGCCAAAAATAGGGCTGCTTTCTTGCCTAATTTTAAATTTTACTTTGGCAAGTTCTCTTACGACGAGGGATGGCTTCCAAATATTCACATGAGAAATATAGCATCAGTCAAATAATTTCCATAAAAGTTATGAATACTTTGGAAATTAATTTTTGCATTACAGACATCATGAAAGTTTCATAAATAAAATTTTATAATTTCCTAATTAAAAATGCTGTGAAAGTTCTTACATATATATTTCTAGTTATATTTATTTTAAATTAGATAAATTCTTTTGCTACTGTAAAGATCATTATTTTTCTCATCGTTTAATGTTATCAAAATATCCGTGAATAAACGTGATCATATTAAGTAGCACCTGCTATGTATATGTGATAACTTATTGATTAATTTCGCCCACCAGCTCAGAAGCCGAGCGGTTAACTCAGTGAACTCTGGTAGTTCACTCTGGAAGCTCGAGTTCCTGCGAATGGATAGCTGCATGGGTATTTTCGTGGTTTTCTACATAAGTAACGTGGATGCGAGCTAGTTCAGAAAGTCCTCCACGAAGGTATTCTTCCCCTTAGGCAGATAGTCTTCGAGTGTTTTGCCATAATCAAATAAACCAAACGAAAATTTAGCTTTTGATATGTTGGAAGCTAAAAATGACTACAGAGTTGTTTAATGCTTCGAATAGTTTGTTAATTTTTAAGGAATTGTTTGAGGAGGAAGAATATTCATTGCTGTCTCGTGAAATGTGAGTATTAGCATAGAATTTATGATTAAGTTTGTGAATTAAATATCAGAAGTGAGAGCTTTGATTTTTTATCACTATTCAAGGTAGTGATAAGGAACATAAGCTGGACTAAGCAAATTTTCAGGCGACATTCAGATTATGCGTCGGTAAATAGCACTGAAGATCTAACACTCAGACTTGCTATGCTGCAACAATGCATGAGATAAGATTATTCAAGTGGATGGACAGAAACTTCAAATTGGAAACTTCAGATAAAAAGCGTGTAAAAAGGTTTCATATCTTATAACAATATCTTATAAAAATCATGATATAAAATAGCACTTCAAACGATATTTATGATATTAACCTCGAGTAATAATAATAAAAAAAAAAAAAAAAGCGTAAAATATACGATATGTATAGAGAGATATAGATAGATATACAATATATTTCTTTCACGTCTTTGTGGATTTGTTTCAAAATTTTTATTTTTTTATCTGTGATAGATAGACATAGGTATAGATATAAATTAACAGAAATAATTTATTTCGTCGTTACTATAATTAATCAAATACAACGAATTAAAACTATATGCACAGATACAATAGATTTACAACACGAAATTTTGATCCTTATCAAAATTCTCAAAAATAATCTATTTCCCTTTCAATTTATCAACCATTGCCTTAAAAGAGCAGGCGTTAAATACTCACTCTAAATCATTTAACTGATAGGGATATGATAATTTATTCCTAAACCTGAGAAGGCGGTATAAGTTGGATGACTGTCAGTTGAAAGATTTGTATATAGTGTAATTACTCAATTGTATATATTGTAAAAAGCTAATTGTCCTTCAGACATATACTGTTACTATACTGTTACTAAAAAAAGGGCCTATTTCCTGCCTTTAGACTGTCTACTAGCTCTTGGACAGCGAAAATGCCTTTTTCCTTTCTTAAATTCTTAATCATTGCGACACGACAATTAACCAGAAATTAATTAATTTCCATTCACTAGTATTTTTAAAAAAATCTTAACAGACGGTCTCTCTCAGATAAGAACTCCACAAAATACATCCCTCAAGAATTCCAAGTCCCACCCACTACCATAAATTTCTCTTCACCCAAGTCTTACCGACTGATATAATTCAAAGCCCCTACTGCCGCTAAGAATTTTCGGACACCCTACACTTCTGAGTCAGACACGAAGAGAACACATTGCCAAACTCCCCCACTAGAAAGAATGTAAGTTACTTAATACCTTTCTGGCCTTTATATCTTCATGTACATTCACTGATCTTATTTATATTATTTTCTATTTTATTTTTATATTATTTTATATTTTTGTTCTCTTTGATTTGTTTTGCAAAGTTTTGCATTATCTATCTTTTTTATAATCTTCTATGCTTATTTCAACTTTACTTTGATTTCGATTTCATAATGACAATTTCCAATGTTTAATTTCTACAATAATATATAGTACTCAAATACATAAAGATGATAGTTTCGGGGACGATTACTCGAGTTTTACAAGATTTCTCTACAGTAATTGATTTTTACTCCAAATTGAATTGACTAAAATGCTTCATGAGTATAAGTTCTTTGAGTAACAACTATTCGCGGAAATATTTGGCCTGACTAGAATTGCCGGTTTGACTGGGATTAAAACTGCTTCGACTGCCAAGTTCTTTAGATATTACCAAATTAGCATTAGTAGCATACTACGCAATCAAATTCTTCTTCAGTATGGGTCTAATCAAGCATCTACAGTGTTCCGTCTTTTCCTTGTGCTTTTATTATGACAATTAAGCCGGTAAGGATAGTTTCCTGCAGCCTGAAACCTCAATGGAAAATTTAATTCAGCTCTTCAAATCATCATTTTGTGATAAATCCAAGATAATGTGAAAGAAGTGAATCATCAAATTTGTTTTTTCAGTGTTTAAAAAATAACAGATCATTCTTCTGCTATGGTGTTTAACTTATAACTCGAGTAAAGACGAAACACTTTCATATTTACGTATTTTTATCAATTATTGATCACTGAACGGGAGTTGGTTTGTTCCCCTTGAAAAGTCAACTAATTTCCGATCAATGACAATAATTACATGTTTTAATTTTTAATTTTTACTTTTACAATTGTAATATTATTCTTCGTGATGATTTAACTCGAGTCCCCGTTAAAACATTATTAACATTTTGCTTTCAAATTACTTCAAAACATCTTTCAAAATATAACTTACCAGTATGGATGCACACTTTTAAAATAATTCTACTTTAATTAACTTAGGAGATATATAATCAATTAATCAATACTGTTTAGGAAATAAATTATTATTAACTAACTTTGCAGCAATTGCGCAGTAATAATAACTTGTATTCGCACTAAATGGATTTAAGTTCATACAACATATAATAACTATATATATATATATGTAAGATAAAAAATGTATGAATCAGAATTATAACTATAAACATTAATTCTTCCTCTCTATTCTAAAATCGTAATAACTTCTCTGCATTGCGTCATTTCTAGATCATTCTATGGCCCGCGCAACTCTGATGACGTAATAATTAAGACTTGAAACTGCCACTGTAAACCAAAACTTTTCTCTTCGCGTGCTTCCATCTTTCATAACTACGCACTTCAGCTTTTGCCCTCTGCTCTGCTAAGATGTAATTTCGCTGGCTTGCTTTCTATCCCAACAATATCAAAAATGTAAATCTTCTGTGGAAAGGCACGACTAGAGTGCCAAGTGATTGTGGCCACAAATACCAATTGGAAATAAAAATGGAATTAAAACTGCTTCGACTGCCAAGTTCTTTAGATATTACCAAATTAGCATTAGTAGCATACTACGCCAATCAAATTCTTCTTCTTAGTATGGGTCTAATCAAGCATCTACAGTGTTCCGTCCGTCTTTTCCTTGTGCTTTTTATTATGACAATCAAGCCGGTAAGGACAGTTTTCCTGCAGCCTGAAACCTCAATGGAAAATTTAATTCAGCTCTTCAAATCATCATTTTGTGATAAATCCAAGATAATGTGAAAGAAGTGAATCATCAAATTTGTTTTTTCAGTGTTTAAAAAATAACAGATCATTCTTCTGCTATGGTGTTTTGCAAGTGTTTCAAGGAAAAAAAAATCACGCGTAGTGTTTACAGATTGAAAGTAATCTCTCGATAAAATGAGAAGTTCGAATGCCTAGTGAAAAGTAAATCATCAGTGAATTACCGTTTAGGAATTAAGCATTACAGCGGGTTCAAGATCGATCTGAGTTAGTGTTTGCAAGTATGTGCGACAGAAAATTATTTGCACTTCTGCTTTTTCAACAGCTCAAAAATTATTACATTCGTGTGAATCTAGCTCAGGAACTAAATTATTTAATGTGCTGCGGATTCTATAGTTTATATTTCAACTTTGGTTAAAATTTCTGCAATTTGTTTTGAGAAAATCTGACATTCTTGTTCATTAATTTTTCTAATTTTTCATAATTATGTGTGAGCAAATTAAGTAATTAATTTTAAGCTATTTAAATTATTCATAGGGAAGGATGTTAAGATAAGTTTTTATGTTTTTGAAATTTTGTTGAGAATTTTGAATACGAATTTTATAATTATTCTAAAAATAAAGATGTTAAAAATAAGTGAAATTAGTACAGATAAGTAATATGAAATTATGGTAAATGCATGTTAAAATTTATGGGTTATTGTGTGTTAAGTATAGTATGATGAAGGTGTACTGGTTCCTTTAAAAGAGGCCTGCAATTACCTCTGTACAGTTGTTCCTTTTACCCTCTTCATGCAAGATAATGTTGGAGGCTCTCATTTTATGAATGCATGTAAATTTTTTATATTATTATTATTATATTTTTTTATTATGGAATGTATTAGTGCAGTTCTCAAAGGCCAGTTACCTTAATGCAAGGAACGGAGGCCTTTTCAAGTAACTGCCTAGGCACCCTGGGCCACCAGTGCAGAGAACACACTGGTTAGCTCAAGAGGACAGCCCTATTGATGGATATGTTTTGTTTAGAAGTATTGCGAGGCCTTCCCAGTTTGGTAAAATCAGGAATTGTAAATGAAAGATGATAACGGTGAAACCATAAATTCTGAAAATCTTAATCCTATTATTTATGATGTTAAATTATAATTTATCAGTATGGAAATAAGTATCATAAATATTTATGTGCATTACATTTAATTATAAGAAATGATTATGTAAAAGTTTTTGTGATATTCTGTAATAACAAGAACCTTCCCTGATGAATTATGATTATGTGAACTTTCAAACAAAAAGACTTTTGGACTGAAATGCTGAAAAATTCAATAGGACTTTAAAAATTAAAAATTTATTTAAAAAAATTGATATTTATAAATTATACTTTTATAGAATCAATTTTATGATTTATGTTTTTCTTTTTTATTTGCTAGCGCTTTAACTCTTTCTCTTTAAAAAGGCTTCTCTGTCGCTACGCCTTTTTCTTTTTGAAGGGGGGAAATATGTAAGATAAAAAATGTATGAATCAGAATTATAACTATAAACATTAATTCTTCCTCTCTATTCTAAAATTGTAATAACTTCTCTGCATTGCGTCATTTCTAGATCATTCTATGGCCCGCGCAACTCTGATGACGTAATAATTAAGAACTGAAACTGCCACTGTAAACTAAAACTTTTCTCTTCGCGTGCTTCCATCTTTCATAACTACGCACTTCAGCTTTTGCCGTCTGCTCTGCTAAGATGTAATTTCGCTGGCTTGCTTTCTATCCCAACAATATCAAAAAATGTAAATCTTCTGTGGAAAGGCACGACTAGAGTGCCAAGTGATTGTGGCCACAAATATCAATTGGAAATAAAAATGGAATTAAAACTGCCTCGACTGCCAAGTTCTTTAGATGTTACCAAGTTAGCATTACTAGCATACTACGCAATCAAAATCTTTTTCAATATGGATCTAAGCAAGCATCTACAGTGTTCCGACAGTTTCCTTTTTCTTTTATTATGACATATATATATATATATAATAACTATATATACTCCACGTCTCGATACTCCACGTCTGGATGAACCACGTAGGATTTGGAGATGTTAGAACCTGTCTGAAATGACGACTGGTGGTCAGGTATCCACTTGGATTCTCGAAACCGCTGCCCTCTGGGACAGTATAATCAGCTGTTTCGGATAATTGGAACCAGCTTCTTAGGTTTTATATCTCCACAGCCGAGACTGCCAGAGTACAAATCTCAACCAGTACAATAAAAGGCCATAAAGGAAACACCCATGGTATAAAATAGCACTTACTACCAAATGCTGATTATCAGCTCAGAAAAAAAATGACTTTTTAAGCGATTTATATTACACTGAACTGAACAGCGCATTTTTATGTCCAAAGATTAATGAAAGATCTAAAACATATCAAGCTCCATAAACATGTCAAGACTTGTCATGCGTTGCCTATACGTTCTAGAAAATTGAACTAAACTCAGTTCCTAGAACTTTGGAAATAGCATCAACTTATGTAAATGCAGGAACTTATACAATAACATAAGTTCATAAAATGCGAGTAATGATAATAAATGCATATCTTATGTATTGAAGCAGAAGAAATGGGTTGTAGTGCGAGTGCACTACAGCCTATCACAGGCCAAGGCCGTCTCAAAAAGCTTCCTCCAACAATGGATTTTTTAAATCTTAAGATCTCCCTCCACACAGGCTATCTATCTTTTGCGAGATTTTCCTCTTTTCCTGGTACCTTCTACAGTTGCAAAGTCACCTTTTTAGCAGGGTTCAAACTGTCACATCTAAAAATATATGCCCGGAACCTCCCAACCGGTACAGTGGTTAGCGTCGCTGTCTGCCGTGCCGAAGGGTCCGGGTTCGAATCCCGGATAAGGCATGGACGCTTGTAAATCTATAGTCGCCTCCTGGTAGAACGGTGCTTCGGTACACCAGGGTACCTGGGCCAGAGGCCCTAACCCTTGTAGAACAGTAGGAAGTTTCGAATTATAAAAAAAAATAACCTGGTGATGAACTCCAATGTATTTTGAAGAGTAGAATAAAACACGTGTGACAAGAAGCATCGAAGATGGATTAAGTGAGGGGAAAGCTGTTCAAGAAATTAAGGTAGAGGTGACATTCTCAGAACACATCAGCTTTCGTCTTCTGCTATTTTCATAATGTACGTGACAGCTCTGAAGCCTGCAGAAAGTTTCTCAGCAACAGTCCTTGCGAATTCGTTCAACTATCATAACAATGTTTCTCAGAAAATCTTGCATTTTATAATTCAGAATCCAGTCGGTTACAGCGCTTGCTTCCGTTGGGATTTGAAATCTTCGCCCTTTAACCTTTTCGCTATACCTAAGCATAGCTGTGACGTCAGTTTCCTGTAAATCTATAGTGTCTCTACGACATGGAAGCACTTTAAATGTGCGGCCAGCCGAAAGCCTTCTCGAGAGGTCGGAAGGAAGAGGGAAAGAGGGGCGGTCGGAAACTCTCGACCCGTCCTACCGAGTGCTCTTCATCAAAATTTGGGGCGGAATCGAGCTCAATCGCATTGTCAACAGTAAGGCTCTCAAGGCTGTTGCCAACGACAGGCGTAAATTTGCGCTCCTAGCCACGAGGAATTTCGTGAACTTGGGCTGACTATAGATCAGATAAGTGAGAATTAGGAACAATAATGAAAATATCTGCAAGCCACCTGATACGGTAAGATTTGATGACTCGGGAAAATATTAGGTTTTTTGTATCTTTTATCGATTTCATAGTTACACAAATTTCTCCATCTATTATTTTCTCCAGCTGGGCTGTATATTTTTTGCAGTACTCTCCTTTCAAAGATTCAAAGACTTTAAGTCTTTTTTCATTTGTTTTTGTTAATTGCTAGCATTTACAATATCATAAGTTTAATAAGAGTATAAGGTAATTCTCCCAATTTGCCTTCGTGGTGTGGTGGTCTGCACGCTGGGCACGTATTCCAGAGGTCCGTGGTTCGAATCCCGACGAGGGCGTTGCTTATTTTTCATATCTGCTGCTTCTAAAAAATCCTAATGTCTCTACAATGGCATTCGAACTAAAAAGGTGGTGGATGATGACTCTCCACATCCAGGATTTGGCGATTGCGTCGCCTAAAAACCCCAGTCGCCCTTTAGAAGGGGGAGTATATAAGGTATTTCTCCCGCCTTAGCATGCCTTCGTGGTGTGGTGGTCTGCATGCTCGGCGCGTATTCCAGAGGTCCGTGGTCCGATTCCCGGCGAGGGCGTTGCTCATTTTTCATATCTCCTGCTCCCAATATATCCTAATGTCTCTACAAGAGTTGTAAAAGAAATTTATTTTTGAAGTATAATAATTTAGACATTAATAAATTCTTTAAATCATGGTAACACCTACTAGCTCTAAATAATCTATTGTCAATTTCAAGTTTAATATTGCTATCATTAGAGATAATAGCGCCAAATTATTTAAACTGAGCAACGTCCTCGAAAGTATAAGAATTTATTTGCAGTGGGGGTGGATTATGGGCTTTACCTGTTACTGCTTAAAGTTTGTTTTGCCCTGACTGATGGTTAGTCCAATGTGTCTGACTGCAGATTATACAGAAGTCCAGTTATGTAATTCAGTATTCAATATATCTTTTTTTTTTTTTTTTTTTTTGAGAAGCTGTAAAGTTAATTTTTTAACTGATATCATACTATTTAACGTATTCAGGTGTGTAAGAAGTAATGTTAGTTTACTTTGCCTTCAATCACAAAAGGATGTGACTGATAACAATTTAAGGAATCTTATTATTATTATGTGAGTTAGCAGTCTTAGCGCTTACCAAAATGGAGGTTATACTTCTCCTCGATAATTTTCTTGAATTTATTTATTTCTGTGTTTGGAACTTTTTTATTCCACACGATGGGAGGGTTCCACCCTGTTCCATTCTCAGCACTCTTTTTCGATGCGGTTCCTGAAAACAAAATAAAATTTTAGAACGCTTATTTTATAAGGCAGTCTGAAAAGAATTTGAAAGTACCTTTTTTTAATGGTCTCACTTTAAATGGTCAAGCATCTTTAAATATGCGAAAACGTTTAACAAACTTTAAAGCAGAATACTTTTATAACTGATTGGGTTACGATAGGAAAACTTTGAACACGTAAAAATTGTCCCAATACATAAAGCACCGGATTCAACCTTCCCCTAAAAAATATTCTATTTTAAGAAAATGGAAAACGTTTTTACTTACAACAGATAAAAGCTTCGATTTAGGTAGGAGGAATATTGTCCAGCATAATGTCCTCCACAACTTGTTCTACAGCCATGTACTCTCTCAATGAAATTCGTGACCACTTTCTCTCGTATCGACCTATCGAGGTAACGACGCGTGTAATTTCCTCTTTTTTTCGGGTTGCAACAACATTGTCATGTACAATAGCGATGTTTTCAACAAACCGGCTGAACAGAGGGCATGTTGATTTAATATTTACTATTGAACCTGTGTCCTAGAATTTCTTTATTAATTTTAACTTGTTGTTACATTAGGTGCATTTTCACGTCAAAAGATTCCACGAACCTTCTTAACAGTCTGTTCATAATACTTACCATCCTAGTAAAGAGTTTATCCAATCAAAACTCACTGTTCGTATGTGTACCACGCCATGTCGACTAAGCTGCAACGAAGCTACGAAATAAATTAACAGCCATAAAACGCCAGTCTTATCAAGTCGATTGGTCCACCAGGCGGCTGAGAAGTTCTTGAACACTGGTAGTTCCGTCAGCGGTTCGAATCCCGCGAAAAGACTGGCCGAATGGGCGCCTTCGTGGCACACACATTCCCATGTGCAACGCGCCAATATTAGCACGCTTTCCTTAGAAAGTCCCCCCCCCACTGTGCAATGCATCAGGGCGGAACACGTAAACATTAATAGTAATAATAATAAGGCAATTCTAATTTATCATTCTTAAATATGAACATTTGTCTGTTGTAAGTATGGAAAATTACTTTGCAGTTTCTAAAGGTAAATTATTTATATGATTATATTTAATTCTGCGTTTTTGGTCGGACACCCTATATTTCGATATACTTTACATTACATTTTCTATATTTGCTGTATTTTCAAGTGTTAAAATATTTTAATTAAAATAAGAATTGCGTATCTTCTTCATGACGTAAAACTATTAACAACCTCGTTCGCAGTGGTATCAATAAACAAATCCTAGACGTAATGGGGGAGTGTCTGAGTAGTATAAAGCATGTTGTCGGTGTAAGATCAGTATTTCTAGCAAAGAGATTGCACGCCGTATAGCAGTTAAAATCACACCGAGTTGCTGCTGCCTCAGCGAGAAATGGCGAATAATCAATCTGTTAGACGACATCTGGATGCTTTTACCCGAGGGTCGAATCATTGGGAAGTTGGAGGAAGGCCGCAATGTGACAAGTGTGGCTGCAGAGTTCGGAATTGCTCACAGCATCGTTTCACGACTTTGGAGACAATTTCAAAACACAGGAACATCCGGGGGTTTAGTAGTGGTCGTCCACGAGGAACCACACCCGCAGATGACCGGTATATTGCCTTACAGGCCAGAAGAAACAGGCGGCAGACAGCGGCAGAAAATCGCTAGACACACGACACAGGCGACTGGACGACCGATATCGCGTTTTACCGTGGCCAGAAGACTGCACGGTGATGGTCTGTTTGCACGACGCCCTGTACGGTGTTACCTCTAACGCCTGCCCATCGGAGAAGGCGTTTCTCTGTGGTGCCGGGAACACCGGAATTGGAGAACAATGAATGGGGACGAGTACTCTTTACAGATGAAGCACATTCATTTGAGTAGCGATTCTCATCGCATACTCATCTGGAGAGAGCGGGAAGCCGCAATCATCCCGAACATCATTGAAAGGGACAGGTATGGAGGTGGCGGTGTTCTCGTTTGGGGAGGCATCATGCTTGGTAGTCGTACAGATCTTCACATGTTCGACGCAGGTTCAGTCAACGGGACCCGTTATTGTAACGAGATTCTTCTTCCATATGTGCGTCTTTTTAGAGACGCTGTGGGTCCGCAGTTCCTTTTCATGGACGACAATGCACCATGTCATCGCACAGTAGCTGCCGAACAGCTCTTAGAGAGTGAGGATATTGAACGTATGGATTGGTCGGCACGATCTCCGGATCTCAATCCCATCGAGCATGTATGGGATTTTCTAGGCAGACGCTTGGCAGCTCGTACCTTACCACCAGTAACGATTCCGGAGCTTCGATTGGCGCTGCAAGACGAATGGGCAGCAATGCCTCAACAACTCATTGACACCCCCTCATTCTCAGCATGGCAGACGCTGTGAAACCTGCCTAGCAGTCAGGGGAGATCATATCCCCTATAAAGACCGGATGTTTCTTGCTGGGAACCCATCACACAGGGATTTTCGGCCTTCAGTCGCATTGCGCTCCATGCTACGTTTTTCAGTAAAGCTTCTTTTTATTCCTCTGATTTCTCTTTTAGTAAGTGTTGCTTACATTACTCATGTACTTACGTATTGGGGATCTTACGGTATTAAATGTGTTGATTTGGAAAGCTTTTGTACAAAGATATATTGAAAAAACCGTCTCGTCCTTAATTTTTGCACACCAGTGTATTTAAAATTACAACTTTAAAAAACAATCGAAGTTTATTAAAATTATAGCTCAAAAACAGTCGAATTTTATGTTCTTAAAATTACTTTTAGCACAAAGGGTTATTAGTCTGAAAACGGCATTTTGCTTCGTTTCACTTTCTGCGTTGGTCACTTTTCAAGCTATTGCCAACAAATACTATCCGCATGTATTTATATTTAAAGAAACTAAATAATGAAGAATATGCATGAATGAATGAATGTTTCTCTCATTGTGAGAAAACAATGGCACTTGGAGCCATCCAGTTTCGAATATTGTAGTCCTCCAACCAAACAAGGGTACCTGGAAGCCCGAATTTGAATTTCGAACATTTTTTATTATCTATTTCAGATTGTGTAAATTTTTAATGAATTTTTGATTAACAAACTCAAAGATTCTAAAGCGAGTAATGGCAACACTGTACGGAAAAAGAAATACATTTTTATTTCCAGCGAGCGAGACTGTTTATAGGTAGTTTTAAAGATAACTGTTTTCCTGTTTTTAAATATTTTGTGATATTGTAGAGACATTAGGATTTTTTTGAAAGCAAGGGAGATGAAAAATATGCAATCGCCTTCTCCGGGAATCGAACCACGGACCTCTGAAATACCGGCTCAGTTTGCTGATCACTACACCCCGAAGGCACGCTAGGAAAGCGGGAGAAATATCTTATAATATTACTGTTGAATTTAGTTTTATGGTTAAAGAGCGAAGAACATGACATTTAATAAATAAAGGTAACACACGAAACCTTAAAGAAACGCCCTTTTGTGCGTAATATAAAATCTGAAGGCCTTCAGATTTTCTTTTTTAGTTCAAAGCGCGTTAGCCCAGAAGGGCTATTAATTTCGTTTCGCCATTTTGTGGCGTTTCATTATACGCGGCGTTTCTTTCTTCAAATCATTGACACCAAATACAAGTATTATCGCGCTGTATTATATTTAATGAAATTAAATAATAAAGAATCTGCATAACCGTATGCATGTGTCTCTCATTTTGATAAAACAACGGTACTTGGAGCCATCAGATTTTGAATACCTTACGTCTCCACCCGAATTCTAGAAGCCCAAATTTAGAATTTGGAATTTGTTTATTATGTATACGATATTTTGTGAGACATTTATGAGTTTTTGGTGAAGATACTCAACAATTTCAAGGCGAACAATGGTAAAACTGTACGAATTTTTTTTTTATCTCTAGCGCTCCTAGACTATGTATCGGAAATTCTAAAGATATGCTCTTTTTAAATTGTTTTGCGATATTGCTTCTGAATTACGTTTTATGGCTTAAGTGCGAACAACATGATATTTAATAAATAAAGGTAACACACAATGCGTTAAAAAAGCCACTTTGGTCGAAATATAAAATATAATTTTTCTTTTACAATTTTTTTTAAAATTTGAGAATTCACCCAGTGTTTCTCAGTCTGTGGTCTACGGACTATAAATAGTTCTCGAAACCTGCCATTGTGGTCCTGCTATATTTAAAAAAAACGACTAAAATAAAATTCATGCTAAATGCGTATCCACTCTATAAACGAAAATCTTACATTCTGAAAATTATGCATGAAGACTGCGTATTATATTTTCTTCAAAGAACAATGTTTTGCGAAATTTATTAAAGGTTACGCTAATTATGGACTTTCAACTCTAGTCTTAGTAACAAAAGAGCGATTTAAAGCACTATTATTGAGGTGCATTTCCTCCTGATCATTCGTGATCATTTCCCTGCATAATTGGAATGTTAAACTCCCTACCAGTGAAAACGGAATATAGTGAATTGTACAGTTGTTCTTTAACAACTGTAACTCAGTTTGCTTCAAGGTATCTGTGTGAGAAAATATTTTCATCACAAATTCAAATAAAAAGCAAAGTAAGAAAATTATCTTGAAGTATGCGCCGAACTCAGACTTAAACTTACTAGCATACATCCAAAGATTCAACAACTATGCAACAATCATCAGGGTGTATCTACCTTATTAATGTGGGTATCAGTATTTTCTTAAATTTCAGTTAGTAAGACAAATCCTAACAGTATTATATTACAGGAAACAAATATACGGAGGGTATTTACGCAATCTTTAGTATGCTTCCAAAAAAAATTGAATAAAGCAAAGATTTGGAATAAAAATTTCCTGCAACACTTTATTATTTTAAATGAGAAATAGAATCTATTGCTTTTAAATTTATTCTTCTTTCAAATAGGTTTTTCTCGCTTTCCGAAGAGAAATATTTCTATTCCATTATGCAAAAACGTTTTAAAATTATCTACAAAATAAGAAAGATTATTAATCGAAAAGGGAAAAACAGTCCATCATCA